GAGGTCCCCCAAGCCCTCCTCGAGCTTGGCTTCCCGTTGCCACCGGATTTCCTTCCAGCACTGGCGGATGTTCCTCCGCTCAGCAACCCCGCACCGGAGCCTACGCAAGAGCCTGAGCTGTCTTCCCGACCCGCGTTCATTATTGAGGTCTTTTCTGGCATGTCCAGGCTTTCCGCCTGCCTTAAGCAACTTGGTTTTGACGCCATTGCCGTTGATCATAAGCGCGTCCCTGGCGCCGCCTGTCATGTTCATCTTGTCGACTTGTGTGCAACGGAAGGCGTTGAGTTGGTCCGACGTTGGCTGGCAATGCCCAACTGCGTGGGTATTTGGTTCGCTCCACCATGTGGGACGGCCAGCCGAGCAAGGGAGATCAAAGGGGTTCCAGGGCCCCCCCCTCTCCGATCGGAGAAGTTTCCGAACGGGCTGCCGCACCTAAAGGGTCAATCCCTTCTCCGAGTCACCCTAGCCAACCAGCTTTACGAATGTGTTTCTGATTTGGTTCTTGAGGCTGCCTCCCGCAACCTTGTCATCGGTGTTGAGAACCCTCGGCAAAGTCTCTACTGGCGCACTTCCATGTTTGCACGCATCGCACACCTCCTTCAGTTCACTGCATTCCAGAGTTGCGCCTACGGCGGCCGTCGTCCGAAGTGGACGGCCATTGCGTATACCCGGGGTGCGTTTGACTGCATCTGCAAGTCCTGCCCTGGGCAGTCTTGCGCTCAACGTCACCTGGCGTGGGGCCTAACGGCTTCTCTACATCGTTGGAAGCTGCGTATCCGCTGCCACTGGCGCGTGCCCTCGCCCATGCGTTCTTCCAGGCTTGCCCGCCCAAGCCGTCCTCACCTGCCGGGCTCCAGTTATCTCTTGTCCGTGGCCAGGTCGGGAGTCAGCCAAAGGCCTCTGTGACGGGGCCCCGCGTGCCTGAGCATGCTCGCATTTTGCGAGTACGGATCCCCCCTTCTGTGTCCTGTCCGGTGTCCCTGCGTGCCCGCCTTAAGGACCCCTGGCCCCTGCCCCACGTGGCCGTCTGCCCCGAGCGCTCGGTGCCTGCCGACGCCCAGCTGCTGCAAATAGTCCCGGTTAAGCAGGGGAGTTCGAGCGCTGGTTCTGGAAACAAAGTTTGTGGTGCTGATGCGGAGCTCTGGAACGAGCTTGTTTGGGGTATCCCTTTCTCCCCGGAACAGTTTGTCCGCGAGGCGGTTAAAGCCGGCCATCCCAGAACCCTAGAGGTCTCCCTGCCTCAAGTCCTCAAAGATGCTGTGTGCACCCATGCCTCGTTGTCCGAGTCGGAGCTGTGCGGGTTGAGAGCGCGCCAGTTTGCTAAGTGGCTTAAGCTTGCGCAGGACCTCAGGAGCGAGGAAGAAGCGCTGAAGGCCTCTATGCATAAACAGGTCGCTACGATCCTAAAGCCCAAACGTCTCCTCTTGTGGAAGGCGATGATGGTTGAGGCTTCCTACGACGATGTGTCCATCTTCGATGAAGTAATCTCGGGTACTAACCTGGGAGGCCCGGTGCCCGATACAGGCGTGTTTGCCCCGAAGTTCAAGCCGGCGTCAGTCACCGTTGACCAACTCAAAAGAGATGCGCCCACCTCTAGGGCGGCCCTTTTGTCCACCATCAAGTCTCAAGGGGAGGCTCTGGATCGCGAGGTCCAGACGAAAACTCTCGAGGAGCGTGACAGGGGCTGGCTGTCAGGTCCCATAGAGGTGGATCAGCTGCCACCTGATGCCATAGTGTCACGACGGTTCGGGATCGAGCAGGATGGGAAAATCAGATTGATTGACGACTTCTCGGGGTCGGGAGTCAACAGCTCCGTGGAGACGTCGGAGACCGTGCGCCCCCAGACCGTCGACGTCATCGCAGGCTTGTGCCTGTCTCTGATGAGAGCGCAACCAGGGTGTAGTCTCAAGGGAAGGTTCTATGACCTGGTTAGTGCCTACAGGCAGCTGGCTTTGGACCCTGCAGGGGCCTGGGCTTCGTACATTGGGCTGTGGGATCCTGATCTGAAGAGGGTAGTGGTGTTTCAGCTGCACGCACTCCCTTTCGGGGCAGTCAAGTCAGTGTCGACTTTTCTGAGGACCGTTAACTCGGTATGGCACCTTGGCGCATTCTTCTTCGCCCTTTGCTGGTCCCACTACTTTGACGACTTCGTGTCGGTTGCTAGAGGCTCGCAGGTGGCTAATGTGCACCAAACAATCACCTTGCTCTTCGCCCTGTTGGGTTGGGACCTGGCCCAAGGTGGGAAAAAGGATGTGCCGTTTGCGGAAACCTTTTGTGCGTTAGGGGTTGACATAGTGCTGTCGAGCGCCCACTTGGGTCGTGTGACCATTTGCAACACGGAAAAGAGAGTTCAGCTCCTCGTAGAGACTATGAAGCAGGCCCAGAAAGACCGACGCATGAGTGCGCCTCAAGCACTCAAGCTAAGGGGTAAGCTCCAGTTTGCAAGTGGACAGCTGTTTGGGCGTCAAAGCAAGTTTTGCATGCAACAGCTTTCTGATTACGCCCATGGGGGTGCCCCTCCTGATCTGCCGACGGAGTGCATTGATACTTTCACCTCGCTGGTCGACATGTTGGACAGTGGACGCCCTAGGCTAGTCCAAGTCAACAAACAGCAAACCTGGTATGTCTTCACTGATGCATCCTATTCGAAGGATGACCCCGTGCTGCCTTGTGGTGTTGGTGGTCTCCTGTTTGATGATAAGGGTGTGTTGGTTGCTGGTTTCTCCCACGCCCTTGACAGTGACGTCCGGAAGCTCCTGGGTGAGATCAACAAAGACACGATCATAATGGAGGCTGAGTTTGTTGCGGTGCTGCTTGCGTTCCGTCTTTGGGGCAAAAGGGTTGCGAACTCACCTGTTGTGGCTTTCATCGACAACAACTCCGTCAGGGACATTTTGATCTCATGCAGGGGCAGGTCCCCTACTGTGAAAAGCCTGCTTAAAATGTTCGTGAGCTTGGAGGTGGAGTGTGAGTTCATCCCTTGGTTCTCACGCGTTCCTTCCCCATCAAACTGTGCGGATCTCCCGTCGAGGCTGGTGTCCAAGCACTTGTTGTGGGGTGGCATCAGTGTCCCGTGTTCCGATGTGTCGGAGCACCTGGATGCCATATGCTTGGGGATGTCGGCTAATAAGGGGGCTTGAGGTTCGTTTGTGTATGGTGAGACGCATGTGCAATGTATGTGCACCGCGCTGTGTGCACCGGCACATGATTGAATGCGATCTTTGATTCGCCCACTGATGAAAAGAAGAAGAGGGACATGCAGTGCTCGTTCTGAGTTTTGCCTCTCCTGTGGGATCTTGGCTTTTGGGTTCAAACCGAATTTGGCACAAGCGATAAGCTTACTGTTCGCGAGCGAATGGTGCTTCATCGATTGCTGCCAAATTGTCTCTAAGAAAAACGGGGTGCCGTTTGGTCTTGGTTTGAAGCCCAAAAGTTTCTGATGCTTGTCTTGCTTGGTATGCCAACGACGATTTGCAATTGCATGTGCAGGAAGATGTGTGTGCAGCACTGGCTCTTCAGCTCAGTGCCAAAAAATTTTGACCCGCCCAGCCCACCCAGGGCATCGCAGTAGCAGGGCCCGCCGCGGCGGCTGCAACTCCCTGCGTGCCATCGGCACTCCCATTAGAATTGTGTGTACAGGTGCCTCGCCCTTAAAGGGGGCTTGAGGTTCGTTTGTGTATGGTGAGACGCATGTGCAATGTATGTGCACCGCGCTGTGTGCACCGGCACATGATTGAATGCGATCTTTGATTCGCCCACTGATGAAAAGAAGAAGAGGGACATGCAGTGCTCGTTCTGAGTTTTGCCTCTCCTGTGGGATCTTGGCTTTTGGGTTCAAACCGAATTTGGCACAAGCGATAAGTAGGCAAAGCCGCGCGCCGCCATAGTGCCCCCTCCATAACCGCACACCTGCCTTGAGAGTGTGCTTGAAATTGCGCGACAGGAGCCGCTGGCCCTGCCTCATTCATACTTCACATCCAGCATTGTGTCGAGCCAGAGCCAGGCTCAGCAATTGCACTCACTTCACCTGCAAGCCACCGTTGGGCTTTCCACGTGGCATTCCATATCTCGAAATCTTCGATCGTGCATGCAAAGCACTGAGCCGGAAGAGCATTACGCAACACACCTCCACATTTGGGTTCATTTCATTAAGGCCTTGCGTGAGAAACGCATCACGCGTTTGTTGATTGCTCATCCGCTAAATTGGTGGAGAAGGTTCGTGAGTAATCTTCTTGCTAATCACTACAGGGAGGTATCGTTTGACTGGCAGCTTAGGGTCCTTGTCCGTGCTTTAACGTACGCCGACGATAGGTGGGTCCCTAGATTGCCTCAATACTTTCCGTGACATCCAGGTACATCGTGTGGCTGCGCATCTCCGCTGCGGTGTCGAGGTGCTCGCCCCTCTTGCCCTGGTTGGTTCTGACTTTCGGACTTCACTTCAAACATTCCTGAACATCTTGCCTTTGTACCCTCTCCTGTGAACCCGTGCACGGTTTAGGGAGGCTAGGCCTTGTGGGTACCCTAGAGGTCTGACGAAGCATCACTGCATCACCGTGTGCTTCGCCTCGAACTGCCCAAACAGCAGGTTCAGTTCAGACTTCGATCTTCGCGTGGTTTGTGGTCTCCCTTCGGGTTGAGACTAAGCCCATCACTCCGCCAACAGCAAACCCACAGTGCCGTCGGCTTGACCACGCACTGTGAACGCAACATCGGACAAAGTCCCAATCCCTAAGAGGTTTCAGGGTCAAAGCAAAGAGAGTCGCGGGTCTTCCCCACTCTCATCCGTGTGCATTGGCTCAGACAGCCGGTTGAGTGCGTGTCGTTAGTTGAAAGACCTGCATTGCCCCAATATCCCATCTGAGGAATCCCGGCAAGGTAGTCAAGCTCAGGCACTCTGCACACATTCTTCTGGCCACTTTCTAGGCTTGTTGGGGTCGCCGCCCGAATTAGGCTTAGAGGGGTCGCCGCCCGAATCAGGCTGTGCAATTGTCTCTGGTACCATGGGTTGGAACGATTTTTTGCAGGCGTGGGAACGCGTGACCTGTGAAGAGTGCTTTGTGGAGCGTGTGACTGCTGCTTTTTCCAGGGCGAAAGCTGTCCTCTTGGTGGTCATCCGTGCGCTGGTGCAGCTTCTCATCGGTACTCAGCAACAGTCTGGGGCCATACGGCTGGTCCGAACTCGAGAAAGAGAGCTCGAGGGCACGGAGGCATTGCCATATCATCCTTACGCTACGTTCGTCGAGGATACCCTGGAAGAGGTCAGAGGAGTGCTTCAGGCACCTTCGCCGGAGCCTGAGATACCGGCTCCGAGGACTCCTCCTGTCGCAGTGCGTTCCAGATCTCCGCCTCGTTCCTTGGTTGAGGGTTCTGACCAAACTCCGGTACCTCCTAGACCGCGACCGAAACATAAGGGTGATCGAACCCCTGCACCTCCTAGGGCACGACCTAAACATAAGGGTAATAGAACCCCGGTTCCTCCCAAGGCAAGTACCTTGCCCGGAACACCAGGTCCGTCACGTGCACCGGAGGCTGCAGCAGATCTTATTGTGTCTCGTCCCAAAGCAAAGGCCCGACCCGAGTCCAGACCACCGCAGGACTGGGAGTTGGACGAAAGAGAGTATCCAACCATAGCGGATTCGTTCAGGGAACAGGTTGAATTGGGACAACACTCAGATCGAGAAGCCATAAACCGGTGGACTACTGAAGAGTGGAGAGAGCATAATCAGGCGCTCTCATCTTCTTCTTCTGCCGCGCCGCGTGTTGCACCTTTGGAAGTGGTCGAAGTGCGTGAGGACATCCCTGTCCTGATTTCATTGGATTTCAGCGGGGTGCTCAACATCCACTTTCAGGACAGCCGAGATTTTTTGGACCGTTTGAACGCAGAGCGTCCGAGCCACGTGAAGCTGAAGTTTATTTGCACGAGTTACTCTGGGACAGAACGGGCCAAAGAAACGCGTCAGTCGATGGCTTCGGAGCTTCCGGGCGTGCCAGTCTACATCACTAGCTCTCCAACGGGCCGTCCTGGAAAAGGAGCCTTCATTAAGCGTTTGATGGACCGGCGGTCGGATCACTTTGCGTGTCATTTGGATGACAGATCAGACATCGTGCGGGACGTCGAGGCGTATGGTGTTCACGGTATTTTGGTATCGCCGAATACGTGGCTGACTGATCTCGTGCCCACTGTGTTGTTGTGGCTGCGGTCCCTGTAAAACGCTAAAAGAGAGCTGCTGACCTTCAGGGGAACCTGGGGTTTCTATTGCCTGGCACCATGGCGATGAGTCCCGAAACTACTGATTCCTCGCTCCAGGTGTCCACTTCCAGCACGCCGCCTACACAACAGGCGCGGGCACTCAGTGCTGTAAGGGCACAAGAAGCAAGGGTAGGAGAGAGCAGTAGTGATTCCACTCCCGTAAGAGCCGTTTCAACCGGAAGGGGAAGGTCCTCTCAACCCTATGCCTTAGCTAGTTCCCGAAATCGCTCTTCCTCCTCTAGGATGCAAGCTTTGTTGCCTCCGCCAGCTTATGCATGTGAAGTTGCAAGTCCTGCACCAGCAAGTCAACCTGTTTCGCTTGCACCGGGCGATGGGACAACCACCCCGGATGTGCACTTGCATCAGCATGTTCAGCGCATTGCCCCAGAGTTGCACCTGCATCAGAGTCGTCAGGAATTGCATCTTCATGGGGTTGATTCCCGAACACATTCTCAGGCCGTTGCTGCTGCACAGCTGGCACAAGCGCAAGCACAAAACATTCAACAGGACGCTCAGGTGTTTGCCCAGAACGTTCAGCATGAAGCTCAGGCATACGTGCAGGTTGCAAAGAGTGAGGCTCAGGCATATGTTCAGAGCGCTGTCACTTCTGCTCAACATGAAGCCATGCAGCACGCGCAAGAGTATGCAGAGCGCGTTAGGGCTGAAGCTGAGAGACAGGTCCAGAGTGTTTCAGAACAAGCCGGTCAGCATCTTGCACAAGCAAACGAAACCATTGCCTCACTTCAGGCTAGGAATCGTGAGCTTGAGGAGCAGCAGGAAGAAATGATGCAGCGGATTGCGATGATCCAAGCTGAGATGCAAAGCATCAAAGCTCAACAACAGTCCCAAGCCGACACATCCCACCTTCACGCAGAGCGAGTGTCGCAGGCCTCAAGGGCTCAGGACCAAAATGGCACGGAGATCAGTGAAGCCCTCAAGGCCTTGGCTGCAAGTGTTGGTGAGACAATGAAGGAGTTGCGAGAAATCGTCAGTCCCAAAGCATCCAAGCCTAAAAGCAAAGCGAAAGGTTCGGGGCTCCGAAACGGGACACCCTCCCCTAAGCATAAGAGTCCAAAGGTCTCAGCGACTCAAGGTCAAAGATCTGCTGGTGTGGCTGCTGCGCCTGTTCCAAATCGGTTTGGATGCTTCTGCGCACCCAGGTTGCCAGTTTTCACCGGTGTTGGTTTGCCGGCTCCGTCTAGATCCAAGAAGGGTTCTTCGAGTGACAATCCCTTCAACGTCTTCTCCACTCCCAAACCTCCTTCAGTCGTGCATCCCCCAGACCCTCCGATGCACTACGACATCGGGTCCGAACACGAGGAAGGTGAGGAGGAAGAGGAGAGGGAAGATGACCCCATCATTGATGTCACCGATGCACCGGGGGAAGAAGAAGTAGACTATGAGCAGGATACTTACCACAACAAAGATCTTCGAGACCTGAAAATCCCTGCACTTCCTTCGACAGCCGCGGGATATCGAGCATGGAGGAACGGCGTTTTGACATCGTTCAGCAGCATAGACAAGAGTGGGAACGCCAGGATACTGAGATGGCTCCAGGTCGCCCTTGATCCAGCCATAGGAGACCGACAGATGCGCAATCTGCAGGTCACGTCTGACGGCCTTCCCCGCCTTGATGCATTCCTGGCTGCACAGCTTACAGATCCAAAACACCTCAAGGGAGACTACGGAGTCGCTGCCCAGGCGTTCACCGAGCGAGCACATGCGTTAGGCGTGCAGCCTTCCGGGCGTGCGCTGTTGGCAATGCTCAGCCGAAGGTTTCGGGTAGACCGGATCAGGGGGGCGACAGTCTCCCAGCAGACACTCTTAGCCATCCAGCTCGAAGGCTTCAGCCAACAACAACTGCAAGCCTTTAGAGAAAAGGTTGAGTTTTGTTTGAACGGTTTCAGTCCCGAAGCATGGCCCGCTGAGTCTACCTTGTTTAGCTGGTTATACTCCAAGCTCAAGCACTGCAGGCTTCTTTCCAGAGCAGTCGACAAGATCAAAGACTCCAATCCAGGTAGCAACAAGCGAACCTTTGCGTGGTTGTGGTCGCAGCTTGTCGAATTGCTAGATGAGCTGAGAGAAGAAGCAAACGAAGAGTCAATTCGTGACACTCTCATCAAGCCCAAAGCCAAAGCTGCTCCCGCCCCAAAGAAAGAGGAGCGTTCCCGCGATAAGCCGGACAAGCCCACTCCTGCCAATCCAGCCCCTCCGGCCAAGACCAAAGGTTCTGGGAAGGATGGGAAAGACAAGGATGGCAAGGGAAAGGGGGGTAAAGGGAGTGGTAAGGGTGCAGATTCACAGAAAACACCAAACAAGCCAAAGGCGAAATCAGGCGGTAAAGGCCAGGGCTCCAAAGCTGAAGGCAAAGCCCCAAGCAAAGGAAATGCCCCCAAAGCTACCGTACCATGCCTGTTCTTCCCAAAGGGAACGTGTAACCGGGGTGAGAATTGTCCGTTTTCGCATGAGACCTCTCCCGGTAACAAGGCCCCAGGGTCAAAGACTACTGGAGCTAGCGCTACGGCAAAGAGCTCTGCCGCAGCTGTCGCCCTGCTGCTTCCCACTACGGCGCGGGGTGCCTCGGTCGATGGTTCCTCCACACCGAGCAAGACAACCTTTTGGAAGCGTTCAGGATTGAGTAGGTTCTTCCAGTTCGTTTCGGGGTGGTTTACTGTGTTCAGCAACATCTGCGCTCCTGCCTGTCCCGCCACTGTCACTCCGTTGCTTGTAGCATCTCAGCATCAGCACCCGCAACAGGGATGGTTCTACCACGAGTGGATCGCTGATAGTGGTGCAGGTAGATCCCTAGAGAGTCGTGAAGCCCTCAATGAACAAGGCATTCCTGAAGACGCATACGCACACATGGCCGAACAGGCACCCACAGTATCCTTTTCCACAGGGAATGGTGTCGTTGATTCAGGGCTCATGCTTGGCTTCGAGGGTTCCATTCTAGGAAACAATTCTGCATATCTCCTGGACAACTGCCCTAGTGTAAAATCACTTGGTGAGTTGGTAGAGACAAAGTCTATGCCGTTTGTATGGTTGCCAGGAAAGCTTCCGATGTTCCTGTCGAGTGTCGAACACGTTCAGGTCATTGAAGAATCCGCCATATGTGCCGATAGAGTTGAGGGAAATGTTCCAATCTTCAGGGAACAGGTCAGATTCGTCTCGCCTTCCACTGTTGCGATGCCTGGCTTCATGAGCGATGCTAGAAAGGCAAAGCCTCTTGCACGCACTACCATAGAGCCTTCACGGCGCACCACGTATCGACCCTCGCCGCATATCACGGAGGAGTCTACCTTGCTTGAGTTGTTGCAGGATCCAGGGGTGCCGTCAAAGACCGCCTCCGGGTCTAGAGATCCTCCACCTGACTCTGATGACGAGCTGAAGTCTAGGGCAAAGTCCTCTTCAGCAAGAAAGCCAAAGGCTAAACCAAGTCCAAAGGACAAGGTCAAAGGTGCAAAAGCTCCTAAACCTGCTGAAGCAGCGAAGGCTCCGGAACCTCCTGCTCCAGTAGAACCCGAGGTCCCGCCACCTCCACTTCCTCCACCTGCCATTCCGCCAGGTTCTGGGTCGGACTCAGGAGAGGACGTAACATCAGAACGTCAGAAGCAACTCATCAAGGAGGCCTCTTCAATGGCACACAAGTTGACGCATATCCCTAAGAATCCCTACTGTGAGATATGTCAGCGAAGCCGCATGTATCGACAAAGAGTCACCAAGAAGCGTGCAGAGCCTCTCGAAGACAGAGGTGACTTGCCTCCTGCTGAACAGTTTGGCGAGAGGATTGCAACAGACTATATAATCCCTTCGAAGCGTGAGCATGCAGTCCATGTCATCAGGGATGAATATAGTGGTGCACTGCGAGCTTTTGTCTGTGCGCGCACAGCTGAGAGAGCAGCTCAGAACCTCCTTACCTTTGTAGGCGCCCGATACAAGCACCTCCCGAACGTGTTGTGTAAGGCTGATGATGCAAAGGAGTTAATAGCTGCCGTCTCACAAATAGGATGGGTGCATGAAGCGACCCTAGAAAACAGATTTCCACACAACGCCCAACTTGAGAGAGAGATAAGAACTCTCGAGGAATCGACTCGCGCGGTGCATTTGGCTGCTGGGTTCCATGTGGTTCCAGATCTGTGGCATGTGTCCGTGCAGTTTGCCGCGCAGACTTTGACAGTTGTACCGTGGCAGGGCAAAGACAAGTCGCGTTTCGAGGTTGCAACTGGTTCCCCATTCGAAGGCCCAAGGCTTCCCTTGGGACAGTTGGTGCATTACAGGATCCATGACCCCAGCCGCAGGCATAAGTTCGAAGCTACAACTGCTCCCGGACTATTTGCAGGTTGGAGGTTTGAGCACGGATTTGTGTATCGTGACGTGATCTGGGTGCTAGACTATGAAGCCGTCAAGTCCAAGTCGATTGGGTATAGGGACATGATCCCCGTGCCATATGCGGAAGTGCATGTCCCAGAGACTGAGACCTTCCCGCTAAAGGCCGCGGCGGATCTTGCTCTTCGCGAGTTCCAGGATCCCAAACTTGAGGCTATCACAGCGCTGGACATACCATTCAGCTCACTGTCCCCTGCTGATCCTCCTCGATCCTCCTCGAAGGCGCGCAGAGTACATTACGCTTGAACGCATTCTTAAGTTCGGTGCCACACCAGGATGCAAAGCGTGCACTTTCGATTCCGTGAAGCATAGTCCTAAATGCCGAGCAAGATTCGATGCCCTGATAAAGGCTGATAGGATTGCGTTGACGTCCAAGCCCCCTGAGCCAGTTCCTCCAGCTGAGCTCCCCGAAGGCGTTGGTCTCCACCCTTCGAGTGAGCCCGCTGTAGAAGGTCTTGTTGCGAAGGTCGAGCTCGGTGTGACGCAAGTCTTTGTCGATGCCAACAGGGAAAGAGTCCGCCAAAGAAAGGTGCAAACGCTCATAGGCAAGGATGTGTTGTTCGAATATGCGTGTGGCGAGAGCTCAGAGCTTTCGCAAGCTGCGTCCGAAATTGGCATCAACAGTATCCGCTTATGCCGAAGCATGATTGATTTGTCCAACGAAGAACATGTCAAACAAGTTCAAGGTCAGGTCGAAGCATCGCCAGGTTGTGATGTGTGGCTCTCATTGCCGTGCACCGAGTTCAGTCCGTGGCAGAACATGAACGTCCATAGGCATGGGGCGAAGTACGAAAAGGGTCTTCGGAATCGCCAAGAGAAGAGCAAGCTTATGTTCTTGTATGCCCGCAAGGTACTCGCAACTGCCATCGCAAATCATGGAAGGATCGCAGTCGAGTGGCCCAAAGGGTCCGGCTGGTGGGATCTCCCTGAATGGAAAGAATTTCAGGATGAACATGGTCTACACAGGGTGTCTTTTGATGGCTGCATGGCTGGAGTGAAGGGCCGAGAGCATCCAATCCGCAAGCCCTGGAGCGTAGCCACTAATGATCTACGACTTGTTCAATTTCTTGGACAACTGCAGTGTGACGGTAGCCACCAGCACGAGGCCGCCGAAGGCTCACAAACAAAGCAGACTGAAGCATACCCACGAGAGCTCGCTCACAACATCGTCGAAGCGTGGTATCCGCAACGCTACCATCGCCACATCCCCTCCATGGTCACGAAGAACTTAACAAAGCGGGAATGGAAAGCAGACCCGCGCGGAGTTGCAGCCGTGAAGAAGGAGGCAGAAGGGTTACGTTCTAACGGAACGTGGGATGATTTGACAGTCTGTCTTTTGTCTTCCTTGCGTGCCGATGCAAAACGGCAAAACCGTAAACTCAAAATTGCAGAGCTTCTCACATTATGTGGGATAAAACATTTCGAACTCCCTGAGCATGAACACAAGTTCAAAGGGAGAATCGTGTACAGGGGGGACTGCATTTTTGACCAGTTCGGAAACCATGTTCTTTTTGAAGACGTGGCTACCACACCAACTTCCTTGGTTGCCCTTAACATCGCATTGTTTTTCGGCTGCCAAGATGGAAACGCAGTGAGCCTTGCAGATGCCATTCAGGCATTTCTTCAAGCTGACCTCGCTGAGGCAGGAGAGCCCGACACATGGGTTATCCTCCCCGAGGAGCTGTGGTTGGACACATGGCACAAAGCGTACCCATCAGGGTCGAAGTTGGTGGTAAGGTTGAAGCGAAGCTTATATGGCCATCTGGCTCAAGCCATTTTGGCTCAAGCCATTTGGCTCAAGGAGTAGCCTGAGGGAAGTTTCGGAGGTCTCAGCCTTCCTAGCCTGGTAGCCAGCCTAGGACAGTTTGCCCAGAGGTGCCTTCCTCTGAGCCATGGCCCCCCGCGAGTACATCTGTTGCAGTGGCCAAAGCTGCACAGGATGGATTTGGGCGGACAAGGCTCAGCCGCACATGCTCTGCAAGAAATGCAGAACACCCTGGGCAAACAGCATTCGCAAGGCGAGACAGAACTGGAGCCAGTGGAAGCCACAATGGCCTACGGTCGCTGAGGCCGCTTACTGGCAGCCGCCAAAGAAGCCCAAGACTCCGAAAGCACCACTGCCGAACAAGGTCCTGCAAGCCCTTGGAGTGGCGTGGGACAATGTGCCTGAAGAGGTGCAAAAGAACCTCCAGGAGGCAGGGTACAAACCACCCAAGGCACAGGTCAAGGAAGAGGTGGACGACCTCACAGACCTGTGCCAGAAGCATGAAGCCGCCCTGCCGGAGGAGGTCAAAGCCTACCTGAAAGGCCTCAAGGCCAGCCAGGAGGTGACGCCCTCCCAAGCTGCAAGCCAGGCCAGCCAGAGCTGGCAAAGCGCAGCTGGCAAGCTCAAGCACATTGCCGATCAAAAGATTGGCCTGCAGAAGCGCATCGACATGGCGAAGGAGTCATTAAGGCAGCTTCTACAAGAAATGATCGTGCTGAATGAGCAAGCTGAGAGGGCACAGAAGGCAGTCGAAGCAAGCTCAGGCCTGCTCAAGGAGAAAGTCTTCTGCGAATCCGCTGCGGACATGGAGGTCGACAGCATCCTCCATGAACTGGGGGTAAGCCTCAACGAGGAGCAAGAGAAGAAACTCCATGAAATTAAAGCGGAGCGAGAAGCAAAGAGGCGTCGCACACAGGAGGGCCCCACCCCTCCGGGCCTTGAGGAGCAAACCCAGGAGGGGATGCCTCCCGGCAATGCCAATGCCCCTGGCCGGGGTTGGGCCCGGTGGCCTAGGGACTCGGCGTGTGGGGCCTGGAGCCCCAAAGCAAGGGCCCCACAGAGCCAATGTGCGACCCCAGCCCAGGGCTGGAACACATGCTGCGAACTGCCCAGCAGTTCCTAGTTGCAGTGCTGACTATTACAAGCGAGGTGCTCACATCAATCTACATGGGAAAAGATTGAGGGAGGCCTTGGGGAAGCAACTTACTGCAGATAGCAGTGGTTGTGAGCAAGGCTGGCAGAAGCCCAGCCACTTTTGTCGGCCTGGAAAGGAGTCGCCAGAAAGCGTTCCGATCACAGGGCCAAAGTTTTTCAAGCTGGACCTTACAGATGATGAGGCACCAGCAGACGGCGAACAAATGAAGCCACTGTGGGAGGTGAACCCTGATGGGAACCCTCTGGTTACCCAAGGCCCCCCCCCACCACAATGGAATGATGAAGCCCAGAAGGTGATACCTTCCCTCTGCAGCCCAGAAGATTTGGGTTTGGAGATGACATGGCAGGAGGTGGTCAGCCTCCTGGAAGACCAAGCGAGCCCCTTCCAGGCGAAGGAAGCCACCCTTCTAAGCTTCATCGAAGCCCAAGAGGAGGTGATGGCGGAGGACTCCCTGGCCTGGGGTTGGTGTAGGATGGTCCTGCATGTCCTAGAGCAAGGAGAGGATGTCACCGGGAAAGCCATCCAACAGGCAAAGGAGGTGATAACCTCTGAGCTCCCAAAAAGTGAGAAGCCCCTGACACCGGAACAGGTGCTGGGTCAGCAGGAACGAGGGGAAGACCTTGCGCATGGCGAGGGCACCGACTCAGAAGAGCCCAGCCATGAGAAGGTTAAACCTTCCGCCTCGCCTGACCAGTATCTCAGCATCATGAGCGCCAATGTCACCAGTTTCAACAACGGGGCGTTGGAGTGGGTAACCTCCTCCAAAGCCAAGGTGGTGTGTCTGCAGGAAACCCACCTCACACCGGAACTGCTGCATGGAAGGCGAGCCACACTGCAATCCCTAGGATGGGATCTCTATGCTGAGCCGGCCTCCCTGTCGGACAAGGGCACAAGGTTGGGGGGCACTGCTTGTGCCTTTCCCAAAAATAGCGGAGTGTGGCAAAAAGCCACCTACCAATGCAAAGGGGCGGGCTACACAGCCGTGGGCCTGAGACAAAGACGGTGGGACTACACGATTGTCCCTCTACCTGAGGGACACGGAAGGCCTGAATGGTCCCACGAATGCAGAGGTGCTATCCTCTCTGGTGGCTTTCGTAAGAACCCTCCCGGAGCCCTGGATCATCTTGGGGGATTGGAACCTGGACCCGACTGAAGTTCAGGACACAGCGCTGATTCAGGTGATGCGGGGGCGGATGGTAGCCACTGGAGAAGCTACATGCAACCATGGGGCGGAGCTGGACTTTGGGGTGGTGAGTAGGAGCCTGGAAGCCCTGGTGGATCTGTCTGCTACCTGGGCAGTCCCGTGGAAACCACATGCAGCCTTGCACCTCAAAGTCAAGGATGGTGCCAGCGAATGGAAATCCTGGAAACTTCCCCAGTTCCCGAAACTCACAGCAGACCTCAAAGACCAAGAATGGCAAGAGGTCCAACCCTCCCATTTCGCCATAATGGACAGGACCTGTGCCCAAGAGGACCGGCTGGCGATCTGGGCGGCCAGCCTGGAGCACTGCCACGAAGCACCGAGGACTGGCAGAGGTTGGTGTGTGCAGGCCCAATGGGGACCCTTAGTCTTGCAGCGCCCTTCCACTGCCCCCAAAGGCTCTGAAGTGGGCTGGTGGGCACGCATAGCCAGAATCCTGGAAGAAGTGCCCGCCTCCCAGCAGCACCTACCGGACCTAGGCGCCCTCCAAGCCTGTCAAAACATTGCTGAAGGTACTGCCTTCCTCACAGAACTGTACCAGCAATGTTCAGCAACAGCACCACAGTGGCGGTCTTTGAGTGTTGTTGCCAGGCACAAGGAGGCGGCCCTCCAGATGCAGAGAGCCAAGGAGCAGCAGGCCCAATACAAGGACTGGCTCCAAGCGGGTTTAGCGAAAGGGATGAGACCTCTCTACAGTTCTCTCAAGAAGAGTGAGAGAGTCCTGGATCGGCCCTTCCAAACCTCCCAGGCGAAGAGCGCCCAGGGGCCAGGAGGAAGCAGTGGGTCGCAATTTGGGGAGAGGTAGAATGTTCCCCCCCGATCGGCCAGACCCTGCTGGATGCAGCAAAATCCTCCCCGCTGTTTAAAATAACAGCAAAGGTGCTCGAGGCCATCCTCAAGAATGTCACCGACAAGGCAGGAGGTCTTGATGGGCTCACCTATGCTGCCCTCAAAAACCTCCCTGGACCGGCCTATGAGCAGCTCACCCAAGTCCTGAACTTGGCTGAAACCACAGGAGTGGCGCCACAGCACTGGCAGGCGCACCATGTGGCACTCCTGCCCAAAAATGCTGACATAGAAAGGCCCATAACCCTCACATCCATCACCTATCGGCTTTGGTGCTTCTGCAGAGCACAGGTCGTCAAGAAATGGATGCGAGAAACTGCAGAGAGGTTCCCATGGGATAAAGCCTCCCCGGGTAACACTTGTCTAGAAACAGGCATGCAGAGACTCCTGAGAGGAGAGGTTAGCCGCGCAGCTAACAAACATGCCTGTGCGGTCCTGTTGGACCTGCAGACTTTCTATGACAGTGTTAATTGGACCAAATTGGAGGAGCGGATAGTGGCGACCGGCTTCCCGCCAGCTATAGCCCTCCTGGTCATGCAAGTCTACCGGGGAACGAGATATCTCGTGGCAGAGGATCTCCTTTCGGAGGGGATCCTCCCTGCGAGGGGCATCCTAGCAGGGTGCCCGTTCGCAACAATGATGGCCAGGGTTTACCTCCAGCCAATAATGCAAGAAGCCGCTCAGCTCCGCAGTATCACCGCCCTAGACACCTGGGTGGATGACATTGGAGCGGATTTCGAAGCACGATATCCTGAGCAGGCAGCGTTTGCGGTCTATGAAGGTTACAAAACCCTTCGCCGGCTTCTGGAAGGTAGTGACCTCCGTTTGTCCCTGAAGAAAACAGGCTTCCTGTGCACCACTGCAGAAGCCAGAAGGGAGCTACAGAAGCTGCGCAAAGATGGGGACCCGGCTATCCGTGATAGCATGAAGGATTTAGGCCTGGACTGTGCCCTGGGTCGGGTCCGGAGGGTCAAGGTGCAAAGAGCCCGAAGGCACAAAGCGGGCCAACGGCAGAAGAAGTTGAAACAACTAAGAGCCCCGGGTGTGCCGGCCAAGGTACGCCTCTTCAGAGGAGGGGTTGCTTCCGTCCTTACTTGGGGCCACCAAGCCCAGGGAATGCCGCCCACCCGGAGACAGAAGCTCCGGACTGCCTTGGCTGAGCAGTGTGGCAGACAGAAAATGGGCAACCTAGAGGTGGCTCTGTCCTCTGTAGGCGACAGGTACCAGGATCCGGGTCGCACAATGATGGTCCAGCAAGTTGAAGCCTGGTTCCAGCTCAAGAAGAGGTGGGCCGGCAAGGAAGACCTGCTGGAAAGAACCTGGCGCCTTACAGTCCAAAAGCTGGAAGAAGCCAGCAGCCGGTGGCAAATGGTTAAGGGCCCTCTTGCAGCTACCGTTCCATACCTGCTTGACCTGGGTTGGCAGCCTAGAGACAGTGATGAGTGGCTGGACACCCAGGGCACCAGGCACACCATGTACACCCCACAGCAGGAGTGTCGTGTCCTTGACCTCCTCCAGCAAACCTATCAGGCAGAAGTAGACCGCCGCATCGCCACCGGCCTCGCTGCTCCTGAGCTAAAGGGGGGAATCGACTGGACAGTAGGGAGGAAACTGTTGGGGGGTTTTAAGAAAGAAGGGCGAACCACGAAAGCAGCTGCCCTGAGGTGTGTTTGGCAGGGTGCCCTGGTGTGCAGCCAGAACTCTGCTGTCAAAGTGTGCCCCCGGTGCCACCAGGAAGCGGACTGGGAGCATGTGCTCTTGGATTGTGCTTGGTGGGAAGCCCAGAACTGGGAACTGCCAACATGGTTCCAAGAAGGCAGGGCCCAAGGCCCGAGATCGCTGTGGACCAGGGGCCTCCCACCCAAACCTGAATGGCAGGTACCACCTCCTCAGGAAGACAATCCCATCTTTTTGGGCATATGGGCTGACAAAGAGCCCCTCAGTGACCCGGAGCTTGTTTATGGCACAGATGCTAGTGGTGGCCCCTTCACGGCGGACCCGAGACTCCGGAAGGTAGCCTACGCAGTGGTGGCCTGCAAGAAACAGGGCCAAGACTATGTCCAGGTCGGAGCAATCGTCGGCCAAGTCCCTGGACCACAGACGGTTTTTCGGGGTGAGATGTATGCAGTTTTGCAGCTGGCCCGTTATACCGAAGGCCCTGTTGACACGACACTAGACTGCCTTGGTGTCCCGAAACGAGTCCGCAGCCCAAAGCCGGGAAAAACCCACGGTGACATCTGGTGGGAGCTGCAAGCCACAGATGTCAACCGCCTCACAATGAAATGGGTTCCGTCCCATGTTTCAGAGGAGGAGTTCCTCCGGAAGGTGGCTGCGAAAAACTTGTGGAGACAGCAGGTCAATGACCTGGCGGATAAGCTGTGTGGAGAAAAAGCGGCCGAGCTGGCCCACCCTGATACCCGGGCAGCCAGTCAGTACCAGGACCATTGCAGCAAAAAGGCCCAAGAGTTCCTGGCGAGCAGGGCTGAAAAGATCCTCACTGCCGTGGGGGAAAATCAGCACCCAGTGTACAAGGTCTTCCTGCAGGAAAAGCAGGCCCGCAAGAGCAATGAGGCCACCTCCAGGCCCTGCAAAAAGCGCATTGGCTCCAACATAGGGAGAGGCCACATCACCACCCAACAGGAATGGTTCCAGGAGCTGGTCCGGACCAAACCTGTGCGTGCGTGGGAATGGGAAGGTCTCAACCTCCGGTGTGCTCAGTGTCAACTTAAACTCCTGCACACAAAGAACCGCAAAACCTTGGAAGCGCTGGCAGCGCACCAATGCACACACCAAGGCAGAGTGACGGTTGAAGGGGTACATGTTACACATGTTTTAAAACTGCTAGGGAACAGACAACTGTGGGTCTGCGAAGGTTGTGGTGGACAGTTGTCCTTGAAGACTAAAAAAGTTTCGCAAAAACTTTCAGTTGCATGCAGTTTTAAAAAGGACCCCAGGTGCAAGGCGCAGTTTAAGCCCGAGCCAACCAATGCCATCCGCAGCCTCTTTCAGCAGCTGCAAGGGACAGCCCAAGTTGCAGCAGACCCCCTGTGCAAAATCCCTGAAGGCACCGGCAGCTGAAGCAACCTAGGAGGTTGCATCCTCCCAGTGAGGATAAAGTGAAGGTCATCCTCGCTACCAGAGAAACCACCCCTGACCGATCCCCTCTAACAGCCTGCGCCAGGTGCACCAGCGGTCTTGAGGGAACTTTTTGTCAGGAGGTTTAATCCTCTCACGAGGTATCACCCTCTGGTAGCATCCCAACGAGGATGATGGAGTCGAGGTTCATCCTCGCTGCCAGAGAACACACCCCTGGCCGATTTCCTCTCACAGTTTGCACACAGTGCACCAGAAACCTTGAGGAATGTTTTGCCAGGAGGTTCAATCCTCTCATGAGGTATCAACCTCTGGTAGCATCCCAAAGAGGATGATAGCTTAGGAGGAGGTGATATTCCTCCCCTGTACCATAGGGCCAAGAGGGCCATCAGATGTGCCAGTACAGAGGCACGGTTTTCACAACCCAAACACCAAGGAGGTGGTTCGCACTAGTTCGCTCAACTCGGAAAAAAAATTATATGGCCATCCGCCTGCTGGCAAACTATGGCAGAAACACCTAGCCTCTGTTCTCACTTCCTTTGGTGGCATTGAGATGGATTTGTTTCCTTCAAACTTCATCTTTCAAATGGGTTCCCATACCCTGCTACTTAACGTGTATGTAGATGACCTAACGTTGTCGGGAGCAAAGCATCTTCATGCACAGTTTTGGAAAAAGCTGAGAGCGCATATCAAGCTGGAAGACGAATGTTACATCGAAGCCTCTAATGCACGGATCCTTGGCAGAGGTCACCGAATCCAACGAGGCAGTGACTTCACAACTCTTGTGCTTGATATGTCTGCTTTCGCAGAGCAGGTCGTCGAGGCGTACTGCGAGCTTGCTGATGTCCCAAAGGCAAAGCTCCGTAACGTCACAACCCCAAGTTTGTCCGAGGCGTTAATGTCAGATGAGGACCTGCAGCAACCCGGCACACTGAGCCATGTAGCTGCAAAGGTACTTATGAAAGCACTTTGGCTGGGTCGGTTGGCTCGCCCTGATCTGTGTTTCATAATCGGTCGGTTAGCGTCACGAGTGGCCGCGTGGACTAAATGGGAAGACAAGCAGTTACTTCGCCTGATTTCGTATCTTCACGGTACAACAGGCTTATGTTTAGCTGCTACTGTGAACCATCACGAAGCTCCCCAGATCCACATCTTCACTGACAGTGATTTCGCCTCTTGTCCGCATAGTGCAAAATCGACGAGCGGGATCTACATGACTATAGGGTCAACAGATTTCCGCTTTCCGCTGTGGTGGGCATCTAAGAAACAGACGAGTGTTGCAAGAAGCACTCCCGAGGCTGAGGCCATAGCAATGGCTTCCGCCATGTTTGGTGAGGCCTTGAACATTCAGGTCATGATGGAGCATCTCCTCGGTCGTGCTATCGACGTCGTATTCCATCAAGACAACGAGACCTTGCTCAAAGTCCTGGCTACAGGCTATTCGGCGAAGCTGAGACACTGCAATCGAGTCCACAGGGTCAACATTGCATCAATGTCTGAACAGCTAGAGTCGCCACAAGTCACTGCCGTGTACTGCAAGAGCGAATCTCAGATAGCTAATGGCCTAACAAAAGTCATTCCACCTGCAGAATGGCCACATACTCTCGCACAGTTTGGCTTGACAGCATCCAGCGATGGACCCCACCTGGAAACTGCCGTCGCCGCACTTGCAGAGGCAAATCTTGCCGCAGAAGTCTTCGCAGGCAGTTGCCCAAAGGTCCCGACTTGTCAGCATCTGGTGCAGCTACTGACGCTGTTACCTCATGGTCCTGATAAGAGGGGGGCACCGGGGCACGACTCGCATGTATTTTCTGCGGGCGCATTTGTCTTAGGAGGAGTGTTTGGCCTGCAGACAAACACACACAAATTTCAATATGCAACGGCGTTGATATGTCGATTCTTTCGACGTTATATGCCATCACACAAGTTCTCAAGCATAATCGTGCAGCAAGGTGTAGTCGCGGGGCTCCACCGAGACTCCAACAATGCAGAAGGCTCAAAGAACCTCCTTGTAGCGTTGAATCCAACAAGTGGACCCATATTGTGGGTAGAAGATGAGGAAGGGACTGTCCAATGTCCAAACGACGACAGCCTATGGGGTCACATGTTGTGTAACCCTGCACTCTTCAATCCCAGAGCACGCCACTGCACAGTCCTGACAGGATGTGAGGCTTCAGAACGAATCGTTGCCATAGCATTCCTGATCAGAAATGCCGAGCGCTTGAGTCCTTCAGACCGCGCAACACTACTGAGCGCAGGTTTCAACCTGCCCTCAATCTGCTAGTCCAGTCTCACCGTTCTGTCTCCTAAAGGGGGGAGTTAACTAAACTGGCCCCAAACCACCGTTTAGCTGTACATACCAAGTAGGGTTAGGAGAGCAGATTCGGATGACTGATTGTATTTTGGCTCAAGGAAAATAGGCGTGCCCGTTGTGCGTCTTTCCTTGTCTTAAGTACCTTTGTTGTACTTAACTATGGGCCCTAAACCCTGGAACCCCCTAACCCTAAACCATAAACCTTAAGCCCTTCTACCCTAGACCCTATACCCTAAACCCTAAACCTTAACAATCCGAAACATATGGGAGCTTACTAAAATAGGGGACCCCTAAACTGGACCCCCAAAGAGGGACCCCACGAAGGGAACCCTAATTCCAGAACTATCGTGTTACATGAATATACTGGTGTTTGATCAAAGTCTTGTATGCTTTTTTACTATCTAGTTTCAATATATATACTACATTTTTGTACCGGTGTATTGTATATTGTTATACTGTTATGGCTGCTATATTGCTGTATTGCAGCATTGCTATATTGCTATCTTGCTATCTTGCTATCTTGCTATCTTGCTATATTGCTACATTGTTCCATTGTTCAAGTGTTGTACTGTAATATCGTTCTATTGTTCTGGTGTTCTATTGTTTTCATGTTCTGATGTGTTGCATTGTCGTATTGTTGTATCGCTGTGTTGTTGTATTGTTGCATTGCCTGTTCAATGTATTGTTATATGTTCTGAGGTGCTGGACGTCAGGACCGAGGTCGCACTGCCGAGTGCTAAAGCATTCGACACATCTGCTTTGAAAGCGGAGCCTATCTTTGTGTGGTACGACTACTTCTCCTGCCCTCAGCTGGAGCATTTGGTGAAGGAGTTCGAGAGTGGGCAGATGAGTGACCTTGCGAAGGCGATCAGATGCTCCAATTTCGTTTCAAGAGTGATCAACAGTTTGTGCTTCATTGTGCTCTCACTAACTTATGTTAAGAGTTTAAGCATGGATCAACCTGGACCCTGGCAACGCAGCCACTCTCAGCCAGGCCGTGAACAGCATCCCGCTCTATGTGGCAGAGTGTTCTTTCTTCTTCGTGCTGTGCCCCGTGTTGGAGTCCGAAGACGGCTCGAAGTTGTTGGGCCCCAGCAGTTGGGCGTCGCGCGGATGGTGCCGCATTGAGAGGTGGGGAGAGGAGGGTTTTGTGGCAGGGACGACCTAGAAAGTAGTATTCCCCTTGTCATTCGCGATGTGTCTCTGACTAGAGTGATTTTTTGAGTCTTGCTGAGTCTGAGTTCAGAGGTGCTGCCGGGAGCTGTCGCCGGAGCACTCCTGGATCATGATCCGGAGCGCCAAGCACCTTAGGGATTTTTAGGAATAGTTTTCTAATTTTTGGGTAGTATAGTCTTTAAGAAAACAGCCACAATTATCATTTTTGCTAGGGTTCCAAGATCAGTATAGGCACATGGAACTCATCGACACTCCCATCGCCACCCCCGGTGCCGGATGCGCCGGCGAAGGCGAGTTCACTGTGGCTGGGTAGTAGAGTGGGCAACCTTTATAGGCTTTTTGGGGGTTTAGGGTTTAGGGTTTAGGTTTTAGGGTTTAGGTTTTAGGGTTTAGGGTTTAGGCTCGTATATTCCCTTTATACCAGCAAAGGTCCACCTTTAGTTCCCCTAGGATGCTGGAACAACTCTAAGGTGGAGTCGGATCGCCAGAAGCTCGGGCCTGTTTTGTTGAAAGCGGTACAGCGGAAGCTCCGCTTCCTGCTGCGGTCCGGGAACCTCGTGGGGTACCGCACCCTTTTGAACCATCAGCCCCTCTTCCTCCGGGGCTTTGATGTGGAGATCCAATATGACCTGATTCCGGGCTTCGAGGCTTTGCCGTGCCTGGGTGAAGCTTCCGAGGCTTCCGAAGCTTCCCTGATTGTCTCCCAGTTCCTGTACCAGAATGGGTTCAGCAAAGTCGCCGAGTTGGACAAGGTGGGCTGGACGCCCCTGCACTACGCGGGATGCCGCGGGGAGCCCGAGTTGGTCCGGGCCCTCCTGGCGCACCGCGCCAATCCGAATGTCATGGCTACGAAGGACAACGTCATGGCAGGAGCCCTACGGAAGTGGCGGGTGATGACCAGCGTGGCTGCTTTGAGGCACCATGAAGTTGCACACATCTTGATTGAGGCCAAGGCGGATCTGAGTGGCACGCAGTTGGTCGGAGCAGCCATCGGGAATGATCCCGAGGGCATCCGCATCCTCTGCGAAGTTGGCGGCGTCAGCCCCTATGCCGCAGATGACGAAGGAGGCTTCGGAGTGAAGGCGATTACCCTGGCTTGCATGTATGGGGCAGAGGCCGCCGTGGAAGCGCTCTTCAAGCAGGCCGCTCGCGTGGGCGGGCGCGTTGACCTGTCGAACATTTTTTGGCTGTCCTGCACCTTTGGGAATGCCGGGGCAAAGCTCGTGGACACGTTGCTGGAGGTCCAGGCCGATCTCGATGAGCGGGGCTCTTTCAGCCTCAAGACGCCACTTGGGCTCTTGTTCAGCGTGCTTGCCCTCAAGTATCGCCTGGGCAGCCGGACAAGGCTCGCGACGATGTCGTACCACCGAAACGGAGCTACGCCATTGATTCAAGCAGTCTTGGGTGGGCAGTGGGAAGCAGCTGCAACCCTGATTGCCAGAGGCGCCCGGGTGGACTTGCGAAACTCGCTGCTTGGACCTTTGCCAGGAGCATCTGAGCCACTTTTTTGAGTCGGGCATGTAGCAGGGTCTAGGTCAACCCCGTATCATTGGGTGTGCTGCAGCGAGGGCTCCTACGATTCATGCGTCGTGTTGCGTAGGTTGTCATGACTCGATACATACAAGAGAACGTGTCCAGCAGGGGCGTGAAACGCGCCGTACGAAGGTTGTAGTAGTACAAAGCACAACGCAGCCAAGATCTGCGGAATATTTCAGACGAAGCACTTTCAGTGCAAAAGTTGTTCCAGAACGACAGAAGCAGTCGTCGTCGCCATCGACGTCGTTCTCGTCGCCGAGTTGGTAGTGCAAAGTGCAAAGCAACATCCCGCCAGGATCCAAATCGAGGCACGCCCAGAAATGAAGCTGAAAAAGCCCTCAGAGCACGAATCGAAGCACTTCTGGCACTGAAGCTGCAGTACGACCTAGCAAAATCCAGCGACCCCAAAGGCGCTCCAATATGTTGTATTACGAAGAGGCGAAGAGGCAATACCCAGCCAGGATCCGAATCGTGGTACTTCCAGCTGTAAAGTTGTGGTACCAAGAGTCAAAGCCCTGCCAAGGCTCCCCGAAATGAATCGAAGCACTTCAAGATACTTCAAGTGAAGTTCCGCTCCGAGAGTGCATTTAGGAAAGTACCACTTTAGCAACCTGCTTACTGTTCCTGAGTGATGTTTCTTCTCTTGACGTTTCAAATTCATTACGACTGTCCATTTTGTCTGTTAGAGCATGTATTCAACATCCAGCCAGAATCCGAAATGAAGCGCATCCCGCATGACAGTTGTACTGAAAAACAACGAAGCAACCTCCAGCCAGGATCCCAGTCCAGGGCGATTTCCAGTACGAAAGGTGTGTTACGAAGAGGCAAAGTAAGTCCCGCCAGAATCCGAGACGACACATGTGAAGCTTTGCTCCCTTGCTGTTGCAGTAGGCTGCTTGGTCCCCAGGAATTCAAAAAAGAGCCGCGTTGCATGCGCAGGTAATAGCTTTGGTGGTGGAGGTGCACTGCAAGAAGCCCCCGTTTTGACACCACCATATCGCCTGGCCTTCCACATCGGTTTCTTTCCACTTCCCACTGTCTCTAGATTCTTGCGATTCTTTCATGTATTTCCTGCTTCATGCGTCGGGTTTATGTTTTCTCAGACTTCTCTTGGCTTTCCTAGTTTCATCTTCCGGTGTTTTTGTGGCATCGTCCGTGTTGTACCCCGGGTGTCCCTGGTTTGCCAGGGAGAGGGCTGCTCGGAGCGACTCTCAAGAGTTCCCCTTTGCTCCCCTTTTGTGGTTCTTGTGCTTCCTATGTTGGAGACATGTCGTCTCACAGCCAGCTGCATTTTTAACTCACCAGCTTGCGTTTGATTGGCCCATATTGGCCCATATTGGCAAACCCAGGCTCGGCTTCTCTGCAGCAGACCTAGCACTTTCACCGCCAGCATTCCTCACGCGAGCTTTCGAAGGGGATGTGGATGGCTGCGTGAGGGTGGCCAGGCTGGCAAAGGCAGAGCGTGCTCCTGACGCATGCCGTCCGCACGGGGGCATGCATGGGGGCCAGGAAGAGGACGACCAGATGATTGAGGTCATGTTTTGAGAGTTTTCAGCCCTTTTTGCGGCTCACAATTCGAATCTACTCCCGTGATCCGAGGAGAATTCAGGAGGAAGGAGGATTTTCAAATGGTGTCAGGCTAAGCCCGCTGGCACTTGTGAAGCACCACAAGTCGGGTGAAGTCGTATCCGAGTGAGGAGTGTTCCATTCTTAAAGAAGATGGTTTCCCGCTCCTGGACATCGATGCTTGGGCATAGAGAAAAAAGAGCAGGAGGGAGAGGTACTTCGCGAGCACGGTCAGCCTTTTGTATGGTGTAGGGGACATGATTGGTATGAGCACGCTGCAATCTGTTGAATACCAAACATGTGGACGTCTCTGTCCTGCAGACGAAGGGAGCTTGGGGAAAGCATGACAGCAAGGTGAGGTAGAAGCTGTTGTGCCAAAAGAGATGAATCAAGCATGTGCAGCTTTGGCTTGCAGTTACACCGTCAGTACTGTATTGTCGTTGTTCATGTATTGACATGGACCTGCAGTCTGCACAAATTCTCTCGCACCGGCTAGATTCTGGAGATTGCTCTTTAGTTGCCCGACTACGCCCCAATTGCCGCACGACTGGAGCGATGCTCTCAAAGCCTGGAGCTTGGGATCGTGCGCAATGCGGTTGCGGTTTCGGGCTTGGGACCAGGATCCCTAATATAGACCCCAGAATAGTAGGATTCCCTTCTAATAAGGATCTCAATAAGGCACCCCTACTTTCGGAACCCTAACCCTAAACCCTAAACCCTAAATCCTAAACCCTAAACCCTAAACCCTCAAACCTAAGTTCGGAAACCCCCATGTGTGTCGTGACTGGTGAGCCGATTCGGAGGGGTTTGTGTTTTATGCAGGCCTTCCTGGTTTGGGGTTTACGGTTTAGGGTTTGGGGTTTAGGGTTTTGCTGCAGAGTTTCACTTGCCAAGCAAGACACCATTCCAAGGGTCTTGAAGTGACTTGATGTGTCGCGGAAACGAAGACCCCGAGGCGTCCCAATCTCTCAGCTCAAGCAAGGGGTTTTCATCTTACGGTTTAGGGTTTAGGGTTTAGGGTATAGGGTTTAGGGTTTACGGCGGAAAAAAAGGCCACAAACGCAGCTTCTGCAGTGTCTGACGAGACAGGCATGCCTTGTTCGGCGAGCGCTCGCGAGGCCTTTGGGGTGCCAGAACAACCAGTTCCTGTCAAACTCTTTGGGTTGGGTTTTGGGTTGAGGGTTTAGGGTTTAGGGGTTTAGGGGTTTAGGGGTTTAGGGGTTTAGGGGTTGAGGGGTTCAGGGGTTTAGGGGTTTGGGGGTTTAGGGGTTTAGGGTTTAGGGTTCGGAGTTTGGGGTTCAAGGTTTGGGTTGAGCGGCTGGCAGGAACGGGAATTGGACCTGCAACCGTCAAAGAGCACTATCAAGCTTACGCCCTGGACTCAACCCCAAAATCCCAACCCCTAAACCCTAAACCCTAAACCCTAAACCCTAAACCCTAAACCCTAAACCCTAAACCCTAAACCCTAAACCCTAAACCCTAAACCCTCAACGGTTCAAGGCGACAGCTTCCTGCGCCCTCGTGACGTGGTAGGCGGATCTGTATCATTGCAAAGGGTTCGCCTATATTGGGTGTGTTTGGATGTACTGGGTTCACATAGACTGCCCGGGTCTTTCGGATGGCTTAGTGTGGAGTTCAAGCTGGCGTCAATGGAATTCAAGGGTGTTGTCGCTGGGGGTGCAAAGGAGTCTCGCTTGGTACGCCTGGGGCCACGGATTGGCAAGCACGTAAGCTTTGCTATACCTGGTGGTTTCTCTATCTCTCTCTCTCTCTCTCCCTCTCTCTCTCTCTCTTCCCTTAAACCCTAATCCCAAAACCCTAAACCCTAAACGCTCAACCCTTATTCTCTCTCTCTCTCTCTCTCTGTCTCTCTTTCTGTCTCTGTCTCTCTATTGCTCCATCGTCTCTAAGTTTTTGCGAATCTCAGAGGTGTACCCACAGGCACAAATCACAAGCATGCCTGCTTGCTAGACACCAAGCTGCCTTGACTGTCGCGCATCTCAGAGCTGATGGCCTGATTGCAGATATTCCGCCCATGCTACACCCAGAAAGCTCCACAATCCATATGAGGGTTTTCCAACATAGGAGTAGTTATTGCGAGTTCCAGGAAGAAGCATCATGGTATATTAAGGATCATGGTATATCATAGTTTATTTTGGACTTTTGAGGTATCGAAGAGACCCCGATTTTGGGAACCCCCCCCTCCCCGCCTCAGCCAAAAGCCTTAAACCCCTTCACCCTAAAGCTAACCCAAGGAAGACCCGATGCTAAACCCTAAACCCTAAACCCTAAACCCTAAACCCTAAACCCTAAACCCTAAACCCTAAACCCTAAACCCTAAACCCTAAACCCTAAACCCTAAACCCTAAACCCTAAATCCTACCAGGCGGTGTGGCTTCAGAGTTGGTCGCTGCTGTCTCGTCGCTGCTTCCGCATGGCGAAGGCGGCTTTGATGGGGGCTTGAGGAGCTTCGATGCAGTTCGCGGAGAGCCCTTGTCAGATAGGCTTCATCTCATGGGGAGCTGTATCCGCTCTTTGACTAGGAGACTGGCGGTATCTGGCAAAAAGGAAGGTGCAGGCAACGTATCATGTGTCCGGGTTTATCTGTCACCTTGATCTTGTATTGACCGTTTGGCGACCTTGCCTGCTGGGACTAGATCTATGCGACGACTGTGATCGTGCAGCCCCAAACCCTAAACCCTAAACCCTAAACCCTAAACCCTAAACCTAAACCCCAAACCCTATACCCGAAACCCCTGAAAGTCCACCTCTCCTGAGGCTGCGGAATGCGAAGCTGCCTGGCAGGGGGCACCCAGGGGCGTGGCCCCCCCTTGTGTTTCGGGTGTTTGGGAGCTGGGAGTGTTGTGTTTAGGGGTTGGGGTCGGTTTTTTTTTGTGGGGGCCGGGGGTGCAGGATTTGTTTGCTCACGGAGGGCGTTTTTAGGGCTTGAAGGGATTGAGGCTTAGGTGAGGTTGAGGAAGCAGTGCAGCCAAGCACGTTTGCAGCGTCTGTTTGGGTATATCGCCATGTTGAGCCTCCCAAGGCTCGTGGCCACGCTTCCGTGCGCAGCCCAGCTTCGCTCCGTTTCGGGGGAAGTGGGCATCCGGAAAGGAACTTCGGGTGTTTGGGTCGTCCGAAGATGTAGGGGACACTGAGTCGTCCTCTGGTGGTACCGATCTCGTTGGCGCCGGCTGGATTATTCTGATAGCACAGGAACGAATGAAGGATTCTTTATTATCAGGCGTCCTAAAACAGCACGCGTTCGAAGACTATGAGCTCCTGTTGCGTCTTGTGCTTCAGCTCCCAGTAGCTTCTGCCTTGTGATTCTGCGTCGTGGCCGGGTTGCTGGGACAGGGGGTATTGGGCTATTTGGGTTAGCGGGTGAACCCTAAACCCTAAACCCTAAACCCTAAATCCTAAACCCTAAACCCTAAACCCTAAACCCTAAAGCCTAAACCCTCAACCCTAAACCCTAAACCCTAAACCCACTTCAAGATGCTTCAGCTCTCCTCCTCACATGAAAGTGCTCCGGTGCAGGAGCGACGCATGGCAGGCTCTCCCTCCGCCCGAGACCGCTTCATGATGCGAGATTTGGGCCCTCTGGGGTTTAGGGGCTGAGGGTTTAAGGTTTAGGGTTTAGGGTTTAGGGTTTAGGGTTTAGGGTTTAGGGTTTAGGGTTTAGGGCTCAGGCTTCAGGGGTTCGGCTCGGTCGTGGAGGTGTTCATTGAGTTGTCGCCCTCAGGGCCCTCGTCTAAACCGAGGAGCGCGCAGGTACTGTGGAGCACAGATGCAAGCATGTGCCCCCTTTTTGGAACCCCGAAAGTATAAATGCATCACCCCTCACGGCCATACCGGCCGTGCCCATGGAGCTGTGCGGCCGAAGCCACTTGCTCAAGACGCCGGAGAAAGCCCTGGAAGTCGGAGAGGAGGCTGCTTGCGCGTTTAGGGTTGAAGGTTTAGGGAGTGTCGGGGATGGGAAGCTGCAGGTATCAGGTTCCCAGGGGGCCGAATCAGGCCACAGAATCAGCTCCGCGAATCCGATCGGACGTAGGATCGAATCAGATCCGCCTGCCCGGGCCCGGATCGGATACCCCATTCTACGAAACGGATCGCCTCGGGCCCCAATCGGCTCAAGACTCAAGACATGGGGGGGGGTTTTCAGGGGGGTCCCAGGAAGCTTCTCCAAGCGATCTGGGGGGTCCCACGGCGAGCTCCTCCTATACACGAGCCACGCCATGGTTGGTTGGCTTGGAATGCCTGTCGTAAAGATGCCAGTAAGTAAGATAAAAAGGTGGTCATTTAAAAATATGTGACCACTTCTTAGATTTGCCAAAACAAAAACATCGAGCAATAACAACATATTCCAAGCTCTGAGGCATGCGAATTAAGGAAGCTTGCAAAAGTAGTTCTGTCCAACGGCAATCTCCTGGCAGAAACGACGCAGCCAGAAGGCCGTCTGACGGCAAGCTCCTTCTATACACAGCACACGCAACTGTCGGCTTGGCATGCCCTCCGCCCTCAGGTACGACGCCAAATCGGATGACAGTAGTCGTGAACGAAAACAAGCAGCAGGATGCGATCCAGACTTTCAATACTCCATGGCAATATTACAGGCTCGGAGGCATGCGAAGCAAGGAAGCCTGCAAAAGCAGGACAGGTGTCAGACGGCAAGCTCCTTGCTTACTGGACGCAGTCTATCAACGTCCATGAAATGGCGCGAAGAAAGAAAAGCCTGGCAAATGACACGCCGTCCCTGCGAGATCGGATCGGCTCTAATCTAACCGGGACGTCCTGCAGCCATCATCTCGGGGTACGTTCTCAGACATAAAAACAACATGATGCGGTACAGTCGTCCTGTGATCCACATGTCTCCGGCTTGGGTGCCGATACGTTGATCCGACTCGTACTGTGCTGATCCAGTTCGTTGTTTCTGTGATCCAGTTACCTCGCCCTGACTCCCACAAGTGCCTGATCCACTT